CTCTCACAACCGAAATACGACATGACGACAGGCTGACACACACACACACACACACACACACACACACACACACACACACACACACACACACACACACACACACACACACACACACACACACACACACACAGTCCTTGTGTCACCTTGATGAGTCTTCAAGTGCTTTCAGATAAATGCATGTCTGTCTTCTTTAATAGAGATAATAACAAGTATACAATAATAATAATAATAATAATGAATGTTTAATGTTTATTATTTACTTCACGTTTCTTCCTTGTGTTTGAAGTTATTGTTTTTATTGTTATTGTTTCTAAACTTCAATTTATTCATATTTTATTAAGGTTGAATAAAACATTATTTATAATGATAACAGTTTTAGAAAATAAAGAATCATAACTTAATAAAAACATATTATAATAATCATAAATGATATGATTTTAATAAAGGACAACAGACATGAAGAAAGAAGCCGGTGTCACCACTCGCCACACCTGAGTCACGTCTTAGAGTGGGGCGTGACCTGCGTGTCTTCCTGTTTGTGAGCGGGTGAGACACACCTGAGGAGCAGCGTCGCGAGCAGCAGCACACACACACACACACACTTTGTTTTAATTCACAGATTCATTTTAAGCACAGCGACAGGACGACCACCGCGTGCGGTTCCTCTGCTGACACTGAGCGAAGCGCGAGAGAGAGAGAGAGAGAGAGACAGAGAGAGAAAGACAGAGAGAAAGACAGAGAGAGAGACAGAGAGAGAGAGAGAGAGAGAGAGAGAGAGAGAATGCCTCCCTCCCCCCTCCTGCTCCTCCTGCTCCTCCTCCTCCTCCTCCGCACCGCTGCAGCGGAAGACTGCCGCGCCGCGTTCCGCTCCGGCCAGGCGAACTTTGTGCTGGACGCGGAGGACGCGGTGGAGGAGGGCGCGAGGCTGCTGGCCACCGAGCGCGTGAGCTCCGAGGAGGCCTGCAGGAACGCGTGTTGCCTCGACAGGCGCTGCAACCTCGCGCTGCTGGAGCCTCGCGGCACCGCGGGGGCGGAACACCGCACGTGCGACCTGTTCGACTGCGTGCACAGAAACCGCTTCGTGTGCAGGTTCGTGAACCAGGTGGGGTTCCTGAGCTGGATCCGCGAGGCCGAGTTCCTGCAACACCTGCAGGGCCCGCAGACAGGTGAGGGGGGGCGTCCAATAGGAAGGCTTTATTTAACATGCAACAGCGTGTTTTAAACACTTTAGGCCTACTAAATACTCTTATTTATCTTTCACTACATCTACTTTTTAAGTTTATCTGTAATGTCATCTAACTTCATAATAGCAGCAATAGTAATAATAACAACAAGTAATAACAATCAATCAGAACAGGTTGTATTACCTGTAGATTACCCAGGAGGAACGATCTCTGTGTTCGTGGTGCGTTCAAAGACACAGAGAAGAATACGTAGCAAAACTAAATAAAACAGGACCGTTATAACAATATTTACATGTGAAGAATATAGTGTATTTAGAGTGGAGCTGATTTCTCACCTGTCTGTCTCTCACCGCTCTCTCACCTGTCTCTCACCTGACTCTCTCACCTGTCTCTCACCTGACTCTCTCACCTGTCTCTCCTGTCTCTCTCTCACCTGTCTGTCTCTCACCTGTCCTCTCACCTCTCTCCTGTCTGTCTCTCACCTGTCTGTCTCTCACTTGTCTGTCTCTCACCTGTCCCCTCACCTGTCTCTCACCTGTCTGTCTCTCACCTGTCCTCTCACCTCTCTCTCACCTGTCTCTCACCTGTCCCCTCACCTGTCTCTCACCTGTCACTCTCACCTGTCTGTCTCTCACCTGTCTTCTCACCTGTCTCTCACCTGTCTGTCTCTCACCTGTCCTCTCACCTGTCTCTCACCTGTCTTCTCACCTCTCTCTCACCTGTCTCTCACCTGTCCTCTCACCTGTCTCTCACCTGTCTTCTCACCTCTCTCTCACCTGTCCTCTCACCTGTATCTCACCTCTCTCTCACCTGTCTGTCTCTCTCCCTGTCTGTCTCTCTCACCTGTCTCTCTCACCTGTCTGTCTCTCACCTGTCTCTCACCTGTCCTCTCACCTCTCTCTCACCTGTGTTTCTCTCTCACCTGTCTGTCTCTCTCACCTGTCTCTCTCACCTGTCTGTCTCTCTCACCTGTTTGTCTCTCACCTCTCTCTCACCTGTCTCTCACCTGTCTGTCTCTCACCTGTCTCTCACCTGTCACTCTCACCTGTCTGTCTCTCACCTGTCTCTCACCTGTCCTCTCACCTCTCTCTCACCTGTGTTTCTCTCTCACCTGTCTGTCTCTCTCACCTGTCTCTCTCACCTGTCTGTCTCTCTCACCTGTTTGTCTCTCACCTGTCCTCTCACTTCTCTCTCACCTGTGTTTCTCTCTCACCTGTCTCTCTCACCTGTCTGTCTCTCACCTGTCCTCTCACCTCTCTCTCACCTGTCTCTCCCCTGTCTGTCTCTCACCTGTCTCTCACCTGTCTCTCACCTGTCTCTCACCTGTCTCTCACCTGTCCTCTCACCTGTCTCTCACCTGTCTCTCTCACCTGTCTGTCTCTCACCTTGTCTCTCTCACATGTATGTCTCTCACCTGTCTCTCACCTGTCTCTCACCTGTCCTCTCACCTGTCCTCCAGGTGATAAGACTCCGCCCATTGCCATCGCGGCCCGTGATGTCATCGTTCAGCCGGGGGTGCAGGTGACGCTGAGCGGCATCCAGAGCCTGGCGCTGGACGATGCCCACATCATGAGCTACAGCTGGAGCGTGCAGGGCGAGGCCGAGAGTGTCCACATGCAGGTAAACACAGGGGGCGGGGCTTAGAAAAGGCAACCAATGGGAGGGTCTTATCATAAACCCCTGGTCTGTGTTTACATTAGCATGCTAACACTCAGAGCTAACCTGTACTGGAGAGAGTCTGTGTGAAGGAGCAGGAAATCAAAAGGAAGTCACCTTGTGGTGAACCTGAGAGAGAGAAAGAGTTTGAGCTC